GGCTGGCAAGTTTGTCATTACRGGATAGAAGCAAAAGCATCAAGATTATCACAGATAACTCGATGTCTGTGCTATTTCCATCCTAGAGCTTGCAGTAAATCACATGATTTAAGGAGATGGGGTCATGTCAGAACTTTGGTTTCTTATTTTTTCTAAATTGCTGAGAGTCTTAAATTCATCTATTATTTGTTATTATATCTTTCAGTGCATTTAAATGTAATAAAACCAAGTGACTTTTTGTTTTCCTAAGAATTTGATCTAAGTGATCTAATTCTGCAGTCTGTGTACTTTAAAAGGAGAGTTTATTAATATGAACACTTTGGACAGCTTTGGACAAATTAATAAAGATACAGGGAAGTTAATATTTTTCATTTTGATTTTCTTTATAATGATCTTTTTCTTCATTTGAATGTTTTCCCTGAATGATTTTTTTTTTAAAAATTGTGTTAATTTAGAACCTGCAGTTATATAAACCATAATCCCCTTCATATAAACTCTTCTAGTAATATTTCTATATAAAGTCTAGATGCAGAATTATGAGTAAGTTTTCGAAAGCTCTGATTGAGTTTTCTTCTTTCCTGATTATATTAGAAATATAAAACTGGTATGTAAACAAATCTGAATTATATGTTAATATACCCTGAGTTCARCTGGCAAGGAAATAAGCAAATTAGTCATTTTTCCCATGTTCCATTTTTTTTACTCTCTTCTTTTTCCACTTCAYTGCATGCAATCCTGTCTAATGATTTTTTTTTCTTGATATTTATGATTTCAAAAATGAGGAACAACCAAAATGCTTTGAACAGCAGCACAGGAAACAGAGTTCTATTTCAGAGTGTCTAAAGAAAAAGCATATTATACCATTTTCTTAATCTGGGAAAAAAAAAGATCTGGACAGGATGTTAGTTTTCTACTGAGTCCTGTAGCCATTAGTGGCAATAGGGCTATTTATATATTGTGGAAGAAAATGCAGTAAGTCACCTGGTACTCTAGCACAGATTAGTCCGTGGGGGGACTGCAAGGTTATTCTATGCAAATTTCTACCTCTGAGAAATTTCCCTTTCTTGAGGCTAGCATGGCTCTGCTCACCTCAGCAGCAACAGGTCTTTCTTTTTAGATTGCACTGCAGCTGGGCAACATTAGTGCCCTAAGCTGCTTGTTTTCAAGTTATAATCCCTATATATATATCCCTRTATAGTCCCCCCAAGCGATGGCCCCTATCGTCCCCTTTCCTGCCCTTGGATCATAAAATTCTTAAAGGCTTCATGAGATGATGGAGTTGGTACCTCTATAATAGAGATTAAGTATCTCTATAAGAGATACTTCTCTTTTTTTCAGATGTATAAAAATCTGACTTTTCTAGGGATGCTGGCTGCTCTGCTGGAAAGAAGTTTTAGGGACTCATAAAATGCACAAAATTGAGAATAAAATGCAGAAGGCTGAGGAGAGCTGCAGCATCCCCAGGCCCTTGGTTCTTCCGACTGGCCTGTSTGGCAGAGGGATGTACCAACAGCGTGGGCATCCTGTTCAAATTAATRGCTCCCCCATTGGTTTGAGGAGTGGGAAATTTGTCATAATGGAGAAAGAGAGAGAGGAGTGAGAAAATTGTGCAGAATAAAATGGTAATTGACACTGAGGAGCCATGGGGTGGTTTGGATTGTGGGTGGCTTTTCAAGTTCTCGATTAAATAATATTTTGCTGGAAGCAGAGCAGAACTAATCCTGTTCTGATTAGTCAGTGGGAAGATTTTCATTTGTTTTGAAGCCACAGTTCTTAATAACTAGGAGTTCCTGATGGGGCAGTCCTTCTTCAGAACTTTGGTTTCCAAAGCAGCARATGCATCAGGAAGCTCTTGAGCTACTTCTTTCCTTTGCACGTGAGCTGAGCTGACCTCAAGGTGAGGCATTTAAGACTATTCTGGCAACCAGAAGCTTGAGACAGTGGCCAAGTGAAGAGAACAAGGTAGGATTTTCAGCAGACACAAAAGCATTCAGTGGTTGCTGTGTCACACTTCCCTTAGACTGTTTCTTATAATCACCACCAAGGGAAAAGCCTGCTCCAGGAAAATACGAAAAACTCCATATTTTCCATGTTGGCTTTCTCCCTCCATCCCTGCTCAATTCTTTCCGCATGATATCTAAATTGTTCAAATGGAGCCATCCAGTTGCTATGAAAGAATCTCCACTAACATACATGAGGCCATTTACCATCCCTTCCCATACTTTCCAGACATTTTTAAGATTTTTTTTTTCTAAGATTGTAATTACTCTTGTCCTTCGTGGTTATGAAAAGGACATAGCAATATTTGTCCATAATCTCAGTAATCAACCRTTATTCTCTGTTTAAACTTGGCTTCGTACAAGCAGAAACCCCCACACTTCAGTGWTTCCAAGAAGAAAAAAAGAAAGCACAACCACAAGGTTTCCCCAAAGATCTTACATACATCTGACTTGCTTAACCTCAAAGATAATAAATTATGAAGATATTTGGACTGCTTTCGTATATTCACAGTGTGCTGTAAGAAAGCTGAATTCCTCTTCCTGTGACAGGCAGCGAAGTGTGGGCTCAGCCAGGGCAAGTGTGGTGAGCATTTTTGTGGAATGCATTAGACCACTGGGACTTGAGCCTCGGTTGTCGTATCTGCTTTGTTGTTCTAGACTTTCACTCTTTAAAAGGAAGACAGAAAATATTATAGGCTGGTTTAAGAAAAGAGTCTTTTTAAAGAAAATATATTCCTCTCTAGTAAAGTGAAAGCTAGATAAATGTCTCGTTGGGAGACCGGCAAGAACAATGATGTCTTTAGTAATGCTTTATTAAAAGACTTAGAGAAGTAATCTTAATCATTTAATGAAATATGTTGCTTCAGGGCATTGGATTACATTCATAATGAAAACAGATGACCTCCTATTCTACTGCTTTATTATATCCTCCACAGAAAGCATTTTCTGTTCTTGTTGGTGCTTAGTTATGTCAAAAACAAGGTTGTATAATATTCTAAGTATTCTCTGTGCCAGAGCATTTAAAAGCTGCATAATAATGTAAACTCTCTAACTTATCAGTAGTGGTTTCAGTGTTTATGTTAGTCACTTCCAAGGCCCTSTTTTTTACTGTGCTATTTTTCTGTTTTTCCTTCTTTGTCTCCCTTCAGTAGAAGACAGTTAATGGAATGACTTCCGCTGCTGTGATATTTTGCATGCAGAAAGATTTTTTTTGTTTTTTAAGCAACATAGTCAGATATGTATAATCTGAAGAGGTAAAACTAGGGACTCAAAGTAGTGTCCCCTCTTGAAGTCTGTAAAACTTGTAAATACCCAACTCATGTAAATACCCAACTCTCTTCATGGACTCTTCTTCTGTATTAGAAAATGCTCTTCTTTCCTATAGATTTCCTGCAGAAATATTCTAACCTTGTTGCAGATTTCTCAGGCACTGCCCCATATGCTTGATTTTTGCAAGCAATATGAAAGAAAGCCTGATCCTTTGATTTGATGATCAATACGAGTATATGCAGAACCTCTAGGGTTAAGGAACTGGCAGAAATACTGCTGAACCTGCAGCTCACAATAAAAAGCTACAGTAAAAGGTKCCATTTTATTGAAAACAAATACTTTTTCAAACATGAACCTAAAATGATTCAAATTATGGAGCTGATTGTGCCTGCTGTAGTTGCTGGAGTCAGCTGTAGTTCATATGTTTAAGCTAGAAGATTGGACAGGAGGAAGGAATGGAGAACATGGAGTTTGGAGCAGAGGAACAGTAAGAACTTTCCTTGCTGTGGCTCACCTTCCTCTTCCCTTGTTTCATAAGTTACTCTAACTGGATTTCAAATCAGTACCATAAATTTGGTTCGYCATTTATATCTGTCATGCAGTTAGCTTATATCATCACATGTTGCTTATTGATTTGAGCAAGAAACTTTGAGACTTAGAGAAAAAAAGACCATTTTTGTCTGGATCAAAATTAGTGTCTTTTTTCTGCCTTTTAAGTAGATASAGTGATAACCATGCTGTGCTGTAAAAGTTAAATTTTGTTGAGAGCAGAAACCAAAGCTACAGATTCTTGTCCAAAGCCAAGGATATTCTGATTTGAATTGACTATTTGCAGGCATCTGGTAAAAGTTATTCCCATGTTCTCTACTGATACAAGTGTTCCAGAGAGGTATTTTTGCTGTGTTTGATACATAGGTGATTGACATGAGGGGCCCTGTGCAGCCTGATGGGAACCTCTAGAACTGGTGCAAAGCTTCTGTTCTCTCTTAGGGTGTATTGGTAAAATTGCTTAATCCTTTGGGATGGGTTCAGGAAGAAGAATTACAGACATACAGGTGTGTGTATGAGTGGCTCTGTATGTGTATTTTGGGTGTGTGTGTGTGTTTGTAAGGAACGGATAGAAAGTGTAAAATAGTTACTCAAAAACAGGGACATTTAACAATTTTAGAAACTTTTTTTTTCCTGAATTAGAAGAGCATCTGAAATTGGCGGATGTCTTTATATGTCAATACAACGGCCATTCAAACTATACTTTTATTTAGGAACAAAAACATAGCTTGGAGATTGGGGGAAAATCCTTAGTAGAAGCAAGATCAGTGCATGCTTGCTTGTCAGCTTCATCAGACCAAAATCTGATGAAGGCCTTTGATGTTTCGTTATTTAAGAAATGTTTTGAGGTTGAGTGTGTTCAGTTGCTTGAAACATACAAGGATGCAGCTGACACTGCTTTTGTCATGCAAATAATTGAAAGTCATGATTATTTAATTTAAGCTACCTTGGCTCGTTCAGTTTTAAGCTAAAATAACAAYGTGCATCTAATTTTCTGTCACAAATGTAGCCAGGATCAAATTAATTTTGTTTTTCTGTTTTTAAACAAAAGTTAATGGAGTCAGTATTTATTTTCCTGTAAATAGATGACAACACAAAATCAATGGGATGGGGGCACTGTTTGCATGAACTGGCGAGTTTTGAAATGGTTCTGGATGGTTTTTGCTTATTTCCCCTCTTCTTTTTGTAGGAAATTCCACTTACTTGGATGATCATGGACCACCCCCACAGAAGGTGAGCTGCCCTTATTTTGCAATGGCTTTCTTCTCATTTTCTGTAACACTAATGAGGTGTTCACTTGCTCTGGAACGTGTGTGAAGCAGCCCTGCTGAGATCCACAGTGCTAGGCCCTGCTGACTTCTTTCACTCTTCCCTTTCTTAACTTGGGTTAGGTCTCTGATTAAATTAACAGGATTTTGCCATTGATTCAAGGGGAGATGTGATTTTTAGTGATGGCTTTTGTCTGTCATGCAAAGACAAGAATCGGATAAACTTCCCATAGCTGTTCGAAGAAAGTTACTGGCTGTTGCAATCATTGTTTTTCTTGTGAAGTATTTGCTTGCAAATGAAATAGAGTTGATCACACCCAATGAACTACTTTTAATTCTCATGGCGGGCGGAAAGGCAAATCTATACTAGGGTGGTTGAATCTCTGGCTGTATCGTTTCCTAAATCAATGTGGTTATAGCATTAGAAGTATTAAAAGGCCAGACCAAAGCCATGGTTAAGAAGGAAAGTGAAGGTGGTCTCTCTGCTGGCAACAGACTCACTTTGCTAGAACACAGACTCCAAGTGCAGTAATTAGAAGGAAAACAGAAGCATATGAATGTGTACCCCATAGTACTGTAGAGTAAGTACTGTAGAATAAGCAACTGTAGAGTAAGGTACTCATTGAATGTAAACAAGTAGCATTGGTGCTTCTCAGTGTTCCCACTGACAGGATGAGTGGCAATGGACACAAACTGAAATACGGAAAATTCCATGTGAACATAAGGAAACACTTCTTTACTGTGTGGGTAACTGAGCAGTAGCACAGGTTCTCCACAGAGTTTGGAGTCTCTTTCTTTGGAGATACCCAAAAGCAGACTGAACATGGTCCTGGGCAACACGCTGTAGGTGACCCTGCTTGAGCAGAGGATGCACTAGATGATCTCCACAGCTCCCTTCCAACCCCAATTACTTGGTATTTCTTTGATTTAATTTAATTGTTCTCTAAAACCTGATTTTATCATACCTTATGTCTGTCTGTCCAGGCAACAATAAGACCATTGCAGCTCCTTTAGTACAAAAGCTGTTAGCTGTTTCAGAAAGAGAGAGCAGTTCTCTTGACCTGTTTTAATTTCTCTATACTTACTTTATTTCTACAGGTACAGTATAAAACCTTTTTGAGTTAGTTAGATAGAACTAAGTTGTTATGCTGTGCAACTAGAACACTRAAACATACCTTTTCTGAAAGTTACCTTTCCAAGTTATACAGTATTTTTGCTGTTACTTGTAAAACTGCAAAGCAGATGGGGAGAAAGTTCTGTGCTTGTGTATAATAATATGGAATTTATAGCTTAGCCCTGACTGTGGTTGTATTTAGTTTGAAACTGTTCAAGTAATTTTGTTTTATGCTGAATGCTTCTCTAAATTCCTGCCGTTACTCCTACACCTTCAAGCAGAAATCCTAGTTATTTCACAAATTCCACAGAAAGGGTGAAATTCTTTCCTTCCTCCAAGTGCCCGTTGCTGTGGAAAGAGCTGATTCTTCCCCAGTAGTGCAGGATTTACACTGGACTAACACAAGTGCTTGAGCAGCCACTGAAAATGCATCTTTCTTATGGTTTAATTTTCAGCCGGATTATTTAGCTGATGTGGCTAATTGTGAATGCTCATTGTGAAGAGGGAGTAGTTGGAGATGGAGTGGGAGCCAAGCGCCGCTCCTTCTGGTGGCAGTCAACACCTTTGTCTGAAGGGACCTTGAAGTCGCATCCAGAGCCTCCAGCCTTTAGCCTGACTTTAAGTGTTCAATCACATGTGTAAATTAGGGTCCTGAAATCCTTCTTTTGGTCTGCAGAGGAAGAGTCATGGGGAAAGGAGTCTGATTTCATTCAGTTCTCAGTTGAAAGCAAGCTAAAATAATCTGTTGGCTTTTACATTTTGCTGCGTACACACGGGAACTGCAACTTCCAGCTGATAAGTGGAAACTTGACACGCTCTGGTAAATCGATAAAGTTCATACAGTTTAATTAGAGAATAATGATGTATTTGTTTTTCTTGTCATCAAAGAACACAAATTACACATTATATTTTCTGCCTGTGCAAACAGAAATATCCACAGTCAGAAGTGACAAGATCAGCCTCTCGAACTCAGCATTATTAACAGAGAGGAGGGGAAAACCATTAAACAAAACAAACGTTTCACATTTAAAATTATTTTAGTTACTTCTTGTGCCCTGGAAAGACATTGTCTTTATTATTTGGGCACAGTCTCCTTCCCTTTCCCAGCAATGCTGCTGCTTGCATGGGAGAAAGCAATACGTACCTCTAGTCTCTGCAGTGAGCCCTCAGCTTGCAAGGATAAAGTAATGCTTATTCCAGCCCCGTGTTCCTCCCATTCACATTAGCATTCAGAAATGACTTGCTGTGCCAATAAGAAAGAGGCTGTAATCTAGATAAGAGTTTTTAACCTTGWAAGCTCTATTCAGATTTACATGCTGAGTTTGTCATTGTGTTCCTCTTACTTCAGGGGTTTTGCATTGCTATTAAAAGGTACTGTGCGTGGGAATTGTCGTAATGCACAGTAGCAATTTATCCAGATTTATCCAGACCACACTCTTTCCTGTTTACATTGTGCAAATTTCTCTTGCCTATCTAGACCTTTAATTTCAAGCTATGTTCGCACCGTGTCTTCCAGCTGCAGCTCCGCTGTGCAGAAAGGCCATCTGATTAGGTAGCTACCTGATTGATTGAGGCACTATTTTGAATGATTGATTAATTACTTACAGAGTCAATGARGTTTGGGAGCATCTCCTCTCCTGACTGGTAAAAACTTAGTGCTTAGCTCAGAGGGGTAAAAGGATGTATCCTTATTTTAATGGCAGATACCTTGCTTTTTGAAATGCTTGCCTGTGTTTAGAAACACTGATAAAAATCACCCTTAGACAGCATAAGTGCAAGCCTGCTTTTTCCTGGTGTTTGTTTGTTTTTCACTCCTTTAATCAGAACATGGGTGAAGATGGTTACTTCTTTGAATTTGCTAAGGGCTGTGTTCTGCACTTAGGTGCTGTTGTGGCAATCTCATGCATTTCATCATTGGCTGAGTGCAGTGGTTTACCCAGCTTACAGTTTGGACTCTGAACTGTGAACCAGGCTTGTACTACTGAAAGGAACTCCTGGTGATGTTAATGTAATGATCATGATCATTCRGGTAGTCTCTATTCACATCACTAAGCAACTCTCTATACGTAGGGTGATAGCTGGTTGGGGCCAGTTGATGGTTTCATTTGACATGGAAAGAGTCTTTCTGTGACAAGAAATTAGTCCTGAGTCCCACATTTAAAATAATTTCATTGCAGGTAGTGTTTTCAGCTGTGATACTCACAAGGCAAAGGTGACGTGGTGTGACTTCTTTAGTAATATGTGTAATACTTAGTTGCAAAAGCCCTAAGTTTGCTTCCCTCAATCCTGAAAAGTACTTTCCTGGAAAGGATACTTTTGCCTTGCTGAATTTGACTGCGGTCGGTCCTACTTGGCAGTGTTACGGGAAACTCTCCAATGTTTTCCTAACCTGCTGTCTACATCAGAGGGAATTATAGCACATGCTAAACGAAATGAAAACATGAATGGCAGATTTGGGAGGTTTAGGAGGTTTCAGAATCAAAATGATTATAACTTTTTTCATCTGCCTAAAAATTTTTTAAAAACTAGAAATGCTATGTCAAAAGATAGAAATGTTTGAGATACAGAACGATAATCCGGGGTCCAGGGTTGAAATGAATGATAGTTAATATCCAGGGTTGAAATGAATGATAGTTAATATCCATGGTGTCTATTTAACTGTAGTGGAAGGCCACAAGCAATTGATATGCACTAAATTGTGTGTGTTTTGCAGAGCATACTCTAATGTTTTGTTGAAAGTCATTTTCATTTTGGTTTTTCATCATGGCTAGGTACCCAAACTGGCTTCTATGTACTACCTTTTATTTATTTATTCCTTTAGTGGAAGAATTGAAAATAGCAGTTATTACCCCAATAAAGATTTGTGTGCTTTCATTTCAGGAGATGAGCATCTTTTCCTCCCTCTTCCTTGGTAAAATGACAGCAGCAATTTTCTCAGTGGAAGCAGAGCAAGAAATCTCTGCTCCCTGCTATGCACAAACAATGCTCATATGGTTCTGCTTCTCCTGTAAAAGTTTGCCCAGCCATCTTTTCAAGTGTTCCTCCCAAGAAAGGTTCACTTGACTATTAAAGAAAATGTTCCTGGGGTATGAAACTAATGTATGCAGCACAAACCACTCTTCTTTGGTGCTTTGGTATCAAATACTTGAACAGAGTTTTATTATCTTGTCAATCACGTCTAATTTTAAATCAGATATATGCGTGCTTTTCTGCAAATAGATGTGATTTCCAGTAATCTCAACACTGTTCTGACCTATGAACTTGATGATTTTACTATGTGATATATAAAAAGGGAGTATAGTTGAGCCAAACCTAACCTAACTCCTACGGTAGCAAAAAAACCAAACTCTTTAATTGAAGCACTTGCACTTCCTATGTATATATATGTGTGTGTATATATATATATATACTTTTATATATATATATTTGAGTCTCTTACTCTCTTTATATTCATCCAAAAATAACAGTTTAAAGATGAGGTCGAATCAAGTAAAAACACCCCAAAACACATACTGGTAAGTTTGAACTGAGGCGTATTGGCGTGCTGGTGTGTTGAAATGATTGCAAAAAGTTTGAAACTGGAAAGTGGATAAATATCCTTTGCACCATTATTCTAGTTCTTATTGCATAAAATAATGAGAGAAATATTGGAAATTGTCTGTTATGTGATATTTGTGATATTCTTTTAAAATGGTTTTCTCTTTACTATAAGTTAAAGTATTTCAAGGAGAAAATAAAAAAATCTGGCTTTCCAGAGGATTCTTCCATTTTATGTCATTTGTAACTGGTTAAGGTCCTCCAAAAGCTGTAGCTGCTGAGTAATCTAGCACTGTGGTACTAGGGAGATATTG